CACCGTAAGACAAGTGGTAATCATGTTAAAAATGATTCGTACATGAAAATATCAGAGGTGCGAGACCCGGGATTTGAACCCGTTTCACTCGGTTTTCCAAGCGAGAGCAGTACCACTAGGTTACCACTGCCTTATATATGATTGTAATTATTATTTGTATAATAATAACACTATCATTAGTTAAGACTTAAAAGAAAGAAGAAAAGACGGTAAGAAAAGTATAAAAACATAACAATAGTAATAAAGCAATAAATAAAACTAAATTATCTTAAAACTTCTTTAATTGTATGGATTATTTGTACCTATATCATTTTAATTATATAATTATTGAAAAAGTTAATAGGTAACATAATTTTACTTTATAACTTTTAAAATATTTAGTAACTAGCGCCTCACCCTTGCTCCGCTCGGGTTTGTCACTACTTACGTTTTAACGTTTAGTATACATTTCTCAGAGATGGGAAATTTCCCCCCGGGAAAAAGTATCCTATATGTTGACCCGGATAACCAGCTATCACCATACCAAATTTCATCAAAATCCCTCCAGTGGTTTTTCTGTGATGCTGTAAATATGGTTTTTCATAGGGATTATGTGTTATTTGTTATCAAAAATATTTTAGCCGTTTTGAAATTACAATTACACTAGTAAAATGTATTTATTAGCTTTTTTTTACTTATTAATTTACTGTGCTCAAAAGTTATTTTTTTATTAAAAGTAACTTGTATAGTAACGTAAATTCTTATAAGTTTTTATTTTTGGGTTTTAGAAATCAAAGCATTTTGGGGAAATATTTCGAAAGCAATAATTTACACTCCTTTTCATTCCATTAATATTATAAATGCTAAAGTTTGGATGGATGGATGGATGTTTGTTAGTCAATCACGCCAGAACGGCTGAACGGATGGATCTAGATAAAATTTGGCACAGAGATAGATTATAAACAGACAGAGATAAATTATGAAAAAATGTACGGTTCGGTGGGATAGATTTGTTTTTTGTTTTTCACGAAGCAAGGGATCGACTATCAATTCCATACTAACCGTTAAAACGGACGAACCAAGAAAAGTGGTTATCAGTGGATAATAGGCCTTCATCATTACAATTATTATTATAGAATATCATTATTATTTAATTTAATATATAACATAACTAGCATTGCCCGCGGCTCCGCCCGCGTTCAGATGACCAAAAACTAAATTCTTAGGTTTAACATATTAGTATACTCTTACATTGCAGTTCTTGTATTTTTTCTCACAACTGAGACATTTTCCCGCGGTAAAAAGTATCCTATATGTTGACCCGGATAACCAGCTATCACCATACCAAATTTCATTAAAGTCTCTCCAGTGGTTTTTTTGTTATGCGGTAACTGACACACAGACAGTCAGAAAGACAGACAAAAATTCTAAAAACTATAGATTCGGCCTCTGTATCGATAATAAATAATAATGTTTATTTCAATAAGGTTTTCTAAAAAATATTTAATGTACAGATTCGGCTTAGTTACAATTTTATTATATGTATAGATTTAGTATATTTAATTAGTAAAATTATCTATTAAAGTTTTCTTTGTTTGACAAAATAGTAGCAAAGTAGTGTTTTGGTATGCGCGGGCGTACGTTATCAGGACATTGACCTATCCACGGAATGACAATGCCGCCATTGGACGATGGCTTAACATTCAAAATTAACTGTTGAATTGTTTTTATTCATTTGTAAGAAGTAATTTTTTTATTTTAAATTACACATAACATCTATTTTTTTGACTTTTCAAGCTTAAACATTTAAGTAGTATAAGTAAGACAGACAAAAGAAAATATAAAATATTTTATGTATATAAAAACTGTTATAAAGATTTAATTAGTACCTATTTAAGAATAACAATAAACTTAAATGAATATTTTAAAAACAAATAAAAACACATTATCTTGCTATTATTATAGAAAATAACGGCACTAATTTTATTATCACTTAAATAATTCATTTTTATCATTTTTACAATCGTCTTTAAACTTTTGAATTACAGGGTTGTTGTTTTCATTGTTTGGGATGATGCAGGCCGAAAATAGACGTTTTTGGTCATTTGTTTCTATCCCATTCGCACTTTGCCTAAATTAATTCTTTCTCTTTCGCACGTTTACCTGTTTAGTTTTGAGGTCGTTTGTCTACAAGATAGAAAGGGACAGTAATAGATGGAAATGAATAAAAATAACAAGGATAGCGTTAGACGACTACGTACAAAGTTTTGTCATAAAATAAGTGAAATTTTTACATGAGCGTTTTCAATAGGTACAAGTAAATAATATGTAAACTTTAATACCCCATTGTTCTGATGATCCCAGAGGAAGGTTAGAGAATAATAGTTGTAAAATCTCTCTTTTCTTGTTGTAAAATAGAAAGCTATGGGAATTAAGCTCGTTCAATGCTTCTGTGTATATATTTTACATTTTTCCAGAAATAAGGCTTAAGGATGATTTTTTTGGATTAACTTATTATGGCGGTCGCTTAACATGATTAAAATAATTAATTTTCTAAGCCAAAAGTCTATAGTTCGATCGACGCTTGTATTTTACAACTTTGCTGTTTTATTCTGTACTTTTTTATAAAATTAAGTATTTTAATAAAATGGTAAAGAAGGAAATGAATAATTTCTTTGTTTTCCTTATTCGTAAGAAGAGCTACATAATCATTGAGCAGTAGGCCTCTATTGAAATATTTTAAAATACTGCAATCTCTTTATGTAGTAATAAATATCTTCAATATCATATATGATGGTAAATTGTATACCATTTTAAAAATTTATGAATATTGCACAATTTCATAGTACCTGTCGCGATTATTGTGTAAGTATATTATGTAAAAAAGTTGTGTTTAATAGCTTACTACAGAGTAAAAATTATAGTTATATCGTTTAAAGAAAATGAAATAAATGAAGATAGAAAGATCTATGAAGTTAAGAAATAAGGAAAAACGTAGGAACTCAACGCAGTAATAACAATCTCGAAATTGTATTAAATCTTCTCACTTATTTGAATTAAATCATATTATTATTTACACATATAATATTCTCAATCATATTTAACGCAACACAGTATGTAATTATCAAAACGCTTTCAATTAATATATAGAGATATTTGATAGAGTCGCTTCTTTCTCTACTAACAAATTGGTACGTTATTTATAGTTCATTTTATTATTTTAAGCTCAAATATTTTCAAATGTTTGGTTTAAACGAAAACAACAAAACCAATTTTGATGAAATTTCAAATTTAGATAACCTTGACTCCCTGACGAAGCACATGAATGTAAGACTGTGTTATAACTTATTTCACAATTTTTTAATTCATTTTAATTAGCACAGTAAATCAAAAATGTCGAATAAAAACGTCCTAAGAGGACGAATAATTCGCGTTAATTACGTACAATAATATGTATTTAGTTCTCAAAAAACATTGGACAGATGATATCATTCGGCTTTCTTATTTTTATATTTAAAATATTTGTTTTTCTGGTTTTTGAACAGATTTAAAAGAGGATATTATACACAAAAAGTCAACTAGTGTAAACTTTTTAAGCAAATTATTATATATCTCAAGTGTGACCATGTAATTTAAAAAAAAATACCCCAAAGCACGGAACATTTAAAGCGATTTTTATTACTTTAAAAAAATATGGCTTTACTTTAGTAATATAAATTTTAAATTCTTGGAGTTAGTATGATTATTATAAAAACATTTTTATAGTAATCAATAGTATGTTGTTATTCTCATACTTTGAAGATAATGATTTATAAAATAATACTTTATTATTTACTAAAGTATTTAGAAAAAAATGTCGTTGCAATATTAAATAAAAAACGAAATAATGCTTATGGCAAATTCCACCAGTTTTTTTTTTCATTTTGATTTAGTTATTTATTACTTTTAAATAACTCAGTCCTTAAAAAGGAAAAAGGTGAAATAAAATGCTTAGATTAATTTGCAACTTAAACGATGACTTTTAATACATTTTATCTATATTACATTCGTTTTGTACAGAAAACAACATATTAATGAAAAAAATACCTTATTCTTAGTTCGACCTCAAGCTAACATCACAATAAATGTAAACTTAATATAAAAATAACAGAATTTAATATAAAAAATTACGTATAAACGAGATCGTAACTAAAGTAGGGGTAAAAATTAAACTTAGCATTAAATTCCTATATTTATGACCAGAATCATGAAATTTATTCAAAATAATAAGACAGAAAACTTTGGCAAAACGTTATTTACCAAATAAATAAAATATAACATTTCTAGTTATACTTTTATTATATATTTTTTTCTTTAGTCTTGGAATGTCTTGCACAATTTATATTTATATTCATTATTTTACTATGGAAAGTATAAATCTTACCCCAGACATTTGTTCTAAGGATTACTGTATATAAAATCAACAAATTGAATAAGTAAAAACTTATAACAACAAATTATTCCCCAAGTAAATGACACTAAACAAGTCTGGGAAGTGCATTAACAAATAAGTTTCCCAATTCACATGAGGTCGAACCAAAAACAACAATTAGAAGAATGGCTAAGTATCTAACTAATGGAGCATTACATTGAAAAACCAGACCTTTTCGTAATCGCCCGATAAGATTATAATTACGTTTAATATCCATATAATTCAGTAAACTAGCATATACATAAAACAAAAAGATCTAGCTTTTCATAGACTAGGCGTTGGGGCAACTTTCTTTCACAAACTCAACTAAAGTAAAAAGACAATTTAGAATCACAGTATACCAACAAACTTCCAACGATAACGAAACTATCGTAAACAGAAACAAGAAAGCGACCCCGTTTCCTAAATATAATTCGATATTAATATCTTATAATTGGTTAATTCCTTATTCGGTGTCCAGTATACAACCTTGGCGGTTCCTTCACTTCAACATGGCCGTCGCACCCACACACGCACACGGGACACACACAGACTAGTGTGTGTGTGGTCACCGCACATGCCACAGACCGAGGTTAAGCACACTTAGCCGCGGCAACTTCACGATATGGTCCAAGCCTTGGGGAGTGATGCAGGTACATCCATACAAGTCTATCGCCTTCAAATTCCTTAGGCCTTCGCCTAGCGCTCGAAGACCCCTATCAGTGACCCGCGTGCACTGACCTATATTGAGTGTTTCGAGCTGCGATAGCCTGGCTACCCTCTCTAAGCCCTCATCAGTAAGTCGGCATGCGCTCAGAGATAAGGAACGTAGTCCCGATAGTCCTAATGTGGCGTGTGATAATGCCTCATCTCCAACTTTATCACAAAATGAAACATCTAAAGCTCTCAAGCGCCCACTTTCTGCTAAGTGAGCGACGCCAGCGTCTGAAACTCCGTCGCATGCCCTCAAATTGACATCTTCTAAATGTGGAAGCCTTGCAAGGTGTCTTAGTCCGGCATCGGTAACCGCAACACAGAAGGAAAGATTAATAGACTTAAGTTTAGGAAGACCAGTGGCAGCATGCTTTAAAGCCTCGTCCGTCAATCTTTGGCAGTCTTGTAAACCCAGATGCTCTAGCTCTGGGGTACCTCTCGCTTCGCCTCCTCCGCATAGATGTGCTATGCCATCATCGTTAACGTGCCAGCACGATCGTAAATTTAAGCGGCGTAACTTTCTCAATCCCCAAGCGATTAATAAAAGTCCAGTGTCTGTTACATTACAACATCCACCTAATTCTAATTCTTCTAAATTTTTAAGCGACTGAGCTATTCTACCTAGGGAAGAGTCTGTCACCTGTTTACATAGTGAGAGATCAAGCCGTCGGAGCGCCGGCAATTCAGTTGCAAATGCACTGGCTAAAGCGGAGTCCGTCACACTGTAACATCCACTTAAGGAGAGAGATTCTAATCCGGGTAACGCGGCGACCGCGTCTCGCAAACCCCGTCTTAGGGATAAAACCTGTAGCTTTCGGACTCCGCGTCTTGCTAACGAGGCAAATAACACGGGGGCTGGCCTTCTAAGATGCAAGGCTGCTTCCACTCCACGCCAAACAGATCTCCGATCTGCCGCATCTCTCCAAGCGCGGCAAACTTGCGCCGCCCTTCCTCTATCCCGAACTGGCAGTCTTTCAAAAATCAAAGCTAGCAATTCCGGATACAATCTTGATATATGAGTTCCTTGTGGCTCCGGCACCGGCTCAGGCACGTGAGCCGTGGCTAAGTGAGGTCTATGCAGCCTATACGGCGCACTCCGATTTTTCCGCCTCGTGGTACTCGGCAGCTCGGTGATACCGAGTCTTTCGTCGCGCCAAGACAACACTTCCTCTGTCCACGCACTCATGGCACTGCACTATAACATCACGGGTTTGTGTCGGACCGATCGACGGTAAAGAGGGAACGTCTGTCCCATTCGGCGTGTGGCCGTGCACTGAGAGCCCCCGCCCGCCGCTCTGTCGCTATTGGTCGCGCTCGACGGCACGTGACGCGCGCCGTATCGATTCAGAGGCTCTGCGGCGGCATTTTTAAGTTGGCGAGCCGAAAGACCGCCTTCGTCCCGCGGCCCGCTACGCCCGCTGCAAAGAATAAACATCACACAGATAGAACTAATATGTAATACCCTTATTTATTTTTAAATTAATTATCTGATTATAGAGACTATTTTTAAATGTATCCAAAACAAATGTTTTATTTTTATAAAAGACCAAAATCGCTTCTTATATAGATAAAAAAGAATCAACTTTCAAAATTAAAATATACTAAAAAGAAAGTCATCAGTGTTTTTCTAAATGTTTTAGCTCTGTTTCACATACATTTCTTTTAAATGTCAAACTAGACATAGATTAAACTAAGATAAAATCGATTATGAACAACATCTGTTTTATTTTTTTAATCTGTGACCATAGTGATAAGGCGGCAAAACAACTCCGCGCGCCGTATATTTTCGTTCGCGCTGCACTTGCCGACGATTTAGGACCAGTTTATGTTGACCTCTATCTTTGTGCGCGACAGCCTTTATTTCTTTCCCATAGGGAAAATGCGACGGCTTGACATGGGTCATGCAAACTGGACGAATGATAACATCAAGCAACTATTACAAGGGCAACCGGTTGCTGGCTGAATATGATATTCGAATTCAATCGGCCCAGAAAGGAACCGGCATGGACCGCTTAAAAATTAACATTGCGATGTTTTTAGAGCTTCTTTGTCATACTCGCGTATGTTAAGTATTTTTATTTGGTCTTTGAGTTTAATTTGGTATTTCACTCATTTAAAGTAATATGTTTAAAATTGAATACGTAAAGAGAATTTTCTCAACTTGAAAGTTTTATAAATGTTTGTTTTTATTAATAATTTAATTTGTAATTATATATTAATTTATATATAAAAAACTTTTTGAAATGTGAATCTTTATTTGATCATTTTTATAAAATAAATACATACCTACTATAATAAACATTTGTATCAGTTAAAGACATTATAGACGTTTCACGTTTTATTATGATTTTTCAAATTTACCAAAAAGTTTGTTAAAGGTACCACATTATAATGCCAAACATATTATTAATTATTATATAATCTGTAAAATTATTAAAAGTAGCTGTTGGTTGGAAATAAAAAAAAGTCATATAATAAATATTTATTATCACACAGAATAATTGCCATTTGATAAATATCCGTTACAAGAACTATATAATTCAAAATTTAATTTAAAATACAATATGTAACCAATTTAACAAATTAAATAAAAATCGATAAATTTATGATAATATGATAATGTGCTGTAAAGTATGAGCTTTAATTATAATAAAATCAAAATAAGGCGGCCATGTTTAAATTTTAATACAGGTAAAGGCACACACACACACACATTCTATTAACCTTATAAAATAAATAGAACATATTACTTATTGTAGCTAAAGAAAATTAAACCTTATTTTCCCAGTATATAGTCGATTATTATAAATAATCTTTGTCAGTTTACCGATTGTAGCTATTTAGTGAATAATAGTTCAAGCCTTATTTTAAGGAAGAAAAGGTTGAAATTTCAATGTACTTTATATTATAAATGAAAATGCAAGATCCATTTAAAATTGAACCTTATATTACAGAAGTAAAATAAAAATTAATAGAAACTCAAATTCGTCTTTACGAAATGTAAAAATTTGCAAAATTTTTAATTTAATAGTTACTTACACAATTAAAAAAAAACTAAGTTACACTAAGTTACATTAAAATATGCTCAGTACTTTTTTAAGTACAGGTATATGTTCCTTTAAGATACAATTTTATATCATTTAAGATTAAGGTTCAAAATCGAATGTGATTTTTAATATTATTGTTCATATTTGTACAAGAGAATTTAAGTCTTATAAAAAGAAAAACAAGAACGAAAATTCTATGCTTATAATAAAATAAACATAATGTAAATCAGGTGGTGCGTGTGTGCGCGGTGCGTGCACTCGGCCGTTCCACTTGACTCGTTCTGTTTTTGAAATTACAATTTTTTAACCGTTGGGAAATAGTTCATGTTGTATGGTGACACGATTTTTTATTGATTTGTTATTTAAATGTAAATTTTAATTATATTTTTATGTAACGCCTTTAAGCTTTATTGAAAATCGAATATTTATAATCTATTATTAGATGAATGGTAAGTATTTGCTTGTATAAAAAAATAAAATAAAGAAATAATTTATTTTTAACGTGTTATTTTTGAAATTAAACTTCTTTTGGCACGTTTGGAAAAAATATGAGTGTAAAATATTTACGATGCGCGCGCACACCGACAGCCAAAAAGCGACATGATGAAGTTAGCTGAAAGCGATATTATGAAGTTAGCTGCATTCCTTTTACAAACAAAGAGTTGAGACATACGGGATGAATTTTTTTTAGCTATTTTTGTTCTGTTACGCCAAAGAAGTATAACTTACTCTTACGTGCGTACATAAGTACACACACACGTTTTTTTTATTTACTTGATTTATCTATAACAAACCTTGCCAGTTGTCAAAGTTATCTTTTAAGATTTAGGTCTTCTATTACATTAATTAAAAGATAGCTTTTTATATTAAAGCTTATGTCTCATTAAGATCAATTTTTAAAAGCAGCAGTAATAAATACAATAAAAAATCAGCCATTATAGATATTCTCATCTCGAGTGGAACACGCGTAGTTAAGAGCGATTGCTATTAATATTTAATAGGTAAAAACTATAATCATTTTACCTCTAGAATCTAATTATTTTATGTAAATCTGGTAGGTAAAAAAACTTGTTTTCAACTCTATCCTACGTATTACACATACGTATAGGTTGTTTGAACTGTAATAGGTAAAAATAAAAGTAAAAAAAAAAATGATTTGTGTATGTAGCGAAGTAAAATGATAAATAAATAAAACCGTCTAGTTCCATGGTAAGCTACGAGGCTTGTGTTATGGATACCAGATAGTTGATACACTACACATATATAACTTTAAATATATACATATTATAAATATAATAAATACCCATGACTAGAGGACAAACATTTTTGCTCATCACACAAATGAATGCCCCCAGTGGGACTCAAACCCGCGACCGCTTACACAGCAAGTAGGGTTAGTACAAACTGAGCCAAACGTGTCGTCAAACAAACAAATGGATAAACAAAGAATTATTATTAACAGAAATTTTATTATACGTAGTAAAATTAAGACAAAAATGTACTTGAATTTCTATTAGGTACTTCACAATGTCAAAAATCTATATCTATACTAACAATATTAATGTGAAAGTTTGTGAGTATGGATGTATGTGTGTTTGTTACTCTTTGACGCCACAAAGACTGAACGGATCTGGATGAAATTTGGCACAGAGATAGATCATAGTCTGGAACAAAACATAGGCTACTTTATATTGCTTTATCCCGAAAAAAAATGAAGGTTCCCGTGGGATAGGTTTGTTTTTTTCCGAGGGTGAGCTGCTAGTATTTTATAAAAAAATGTTTGTTTGTTTGAAAATGTACATAACTAACATGGTATTCATTTAGGCTATTTCAGGAGATATTTCGACCATATTTTGTATATTTCCAAAAAACTACTACAAATCACGTGTACTGTAAGAAAAGTTAAAGTTATTTGCTAGTTTAAAATAAACTGTACAATATTCAAAATTTCAACGCGCTGGCATTCCTCGAAGGTATCAGCATGATTCACGCAGACGACGTATATTTTTTTCTAAGTCTTGACGGCCGGAGTCTCACTTTTTGTTTTTTTCCTCCTACCTGAGTTGCCATATGGTACTCATGTATTTAATGGAAATTAAACTCATTTTAATGGCAATACAGCATAAAATGGCGTGCATAACGATTTCAACGCGGTGGGTACGGAACTTCGGTATTATTTGTAAGCTCGTTCATATTTTGTTGTCCTTGTATTTTATGTAGAGGACATTATCATACTATGTTCTTAATATATATTATTATTAGCTCTTTATATATACATATTATATATCTATATTTTTTATATTATTTCTGATTTTTCTTCACGAAATTAACTAAAATGCTTCGAGATATTATCTTGTAAGTAAATTGAATTGTGAATAGAAAATAATATGATATGTTTAAATTTTCTTTTTTTTGTTCAAAGTATAATGAAGATTATAAAATAAGTATAAAAATCTTGTAAACATGATAATAAATAGATCTAGATTAATGATACAAATGTGTGTATAAAGAGTGACATCTAGCGTTAAGAAGATAAAACTTTTCTGTGGCGCCATCTACCGTCCAGTAGCATAGTGTAAAAAAATAGCTTTTTAAAGCTTATTTAAGCACATACGACTTAACATAGATGGCGTTCTTATACTGTTATATTAAAAATGTACCCTTGCATTAAAATAACATAACTCATAAGCTTTTAGAATCTATCAATTAAGTTACTAATTAATAAGTAATCTTTTGATAGGTCTTCAAAAATTAAATAAGTTCTATAACTATCATAAACCCTTATGTATGTATGTTTCAACTATTCGTTTCATTTTTCTATTTTATACACGAAATAATAACTAAATTTAAGCCTGTAAAGACTGTTAATACTTTCTAAATTTACGCGACATTTTGACATTTATAAATGAAGCTACTATCTCGGATTTGATCGGGTTTTTTGTCTCTCTCGTGACCATGATCTCGTGACTAACTACAACATAAAATGAAAACCGCAACAAAATCCGAAAAAATAGTTTCATTTTAAAAGACTTTGTCATTTTGTTTCTTTAAATGCCAATCTGTAGAATTACCAGTCAAATTAAAATATATATTTTTCCGTTATCTAACATCACTCTACGACTCTACGCAAACGAAGCTG